TTCCCACACCTGCTTTGTTTATTCAGTGTCAGGCAGTGTTACAAGTATGTTATTATTGTTATTATTTGGTAGTGTTACAAGTACACTGTATACTAACCATTACACCCATCATACACTATACGTTCAAACGTTGCCATGCATTTGTCAACAAATACTTTTCACGCCCTAAAAACATATGGCTACTTTAGCATTCTCATTTGTGTAAAATTGTTTGGACTTCATTTCATAAGTCACTGTCCAAATTCACACAGATTCGAGGTCAAAGTGCTCTGCTACGACCTGGAGTCTGTGAGGCTGGACAATAGTCCTATCTACAACTGCAGAAATATTTGAGGAACTGCTGTTTTGTGTGTCAGCGTCCCTGTATGCTCACATAAACATGTCCTGTGTTACCTTTTGTATGTTTTCAGATAACTAGGTCAGAGCCATTGTTTTGTAACAAACTCTGCAGGTGAAAACCAGTGTACAAGCAAACCTCAGCTCTTGACTCCTTTTCATATTTCAGTCAGCTGCAGATAGGGCCTATTGTGTGAGGTGATACGATAAGTGTGTGGCAACCATTTACAGATATATTTATCTTTTTGTGACCGGCGCCTGATGTTTCAATGTAACTGTACGTGCCCAAAAACAGTCCAGAGTATCAGTGACTACTGTTAGAAAGGAAACAATAGAGATTATTCAAACAGACATCCCAGAGTCAGACATGCTGAGAAGAATTCTTCTGCAGAAGCTCCGGTTGCACAGTAAAGGTGATAAATCAGGTGACCTTAAATGAGTATGGATAGACTCTGGTGACAACAGGCATTTATTAGTGTTAATGTTTGGCTGCCTAAGGGGAGCAGGCATTTTGTTATTCTAGTACAGTGGTTCTCAAACTGTGATACGCGCTCTCTAGTGATAAAATTCTTTTCACAATTACATTTTCAATTAAATAAACCTGAAACATACAATGCACAATGTATAAAGATGTTTATTTAAATATAAACATCTTTATAAACATTTCTAAACATCTCTCCTGTGTGGTGGAAGCTAACAGTGAAGGCCTCTGCTGCTAGTTGGAGAACCACTGGTCTAGTAGACCCAGCTGCAAAACTTGGACAGGTTTTATTATATATGGCCTGTAAATTATTGTTCATAGCAAATTGTAATATATATATATTTATAATTTATTATTCCATGTTACAGGAACAAGACTGTAAGATTTGTTCTACCACGAAACAAGGAAATTAACCTGAAGATGAGTGTTAACTGAATACACTAACATCTGTAAAAGCTCTGCTCACTTTCTGTTCGGATGTTTGTCTTATATACTCCAAAGTTATTTTAACTTTTTAAGTTATTTTTAAATACTTAAAGTCTTAGTATTATTGATATTGGTTTATTGATTACTTGTATAAGATTTAATTAAAATTGCAATAAATCTAAAGTATAGCATATAGACTCTTTGATTTTACTTTGTGTTGAGAATATGCTGCTGCTGCTGCTGCTGCTGCTGATGTTGATGATGGTTTACTATATCCATGGTTTTCTAAGCCATACATCAGGAGCACCATTCAGAGTATAGGCACAGCAGACAGACTAGCTTGGCAACGCATCCTGTTGGCCAACAGCTTAGCAAATGCTTGCAAAGAAGGTCAACCTTTGACCTTGACCTTCCTTTTAGTGAATCTAGTGCTGAGTCAAAGGAACAATTTCAACTCTTCACTGGTGACAGTAACAATGTCCATCAGAGGGTCAAGGTGTTTTGGCAACAAACTATTTCAAATCACAAACCATCAAACTGCACCAGTGTTAATGTTTTTGTCTTATATTAGTTCAAAACATAAAGTTCCTGGTCCATTTATTAAGAAATGTTGTGTCTGTTGATTTTCGAGAATTAAAGGACACTCTGATCTACAGGTCTAATTTCATGTACACTCTTAACATTAGTGGGCAGAACAACATGTGGTGCACTGGTGTAACCTCATGATGAAAGAAGGCCTTTGAAGCATTTGTTTTTCACAGGACCACAACCCAGGCTGTACGACGCAGGAAACAAATTTGTTTTGTGATACAACTCCAGGATCTTGGGAGTGACTGTATTGCGTCTGCAGGTTTGGTTTGCGGAAGAACTCCTGCAAAGATGCAAAACATTTCAAACAGGTGGATGCCGTAATATGTATCCTGTTGTCGCATTTCCGCACAAAGAATGAAGACTTTATCTGAATTCAACGTCTGAATGGTGTGGTGAGGTCATTCTATGAAATACGGAGAATAAATATGTGCCAAATCAATAGATAGAAAAAGGCCACTGTAAAACTTTTGATATTGAAAACAAAAATAATCCATAATTTAAAATTCAATAACGCTGGATGAGACCAACTGTAAAGCATTAAAACCATTTACAGGAAAGTAAACAATATGATTGTGCTTTATAGTCAATTTTCTGCTAAATGTGTTTAGCATTTATGATTGTCATCTCCAGTTTATGTTGACTCGATTAAAGGAAAATGTCTCTTTATGTTTTTTGTCTAAAACAGAATGGGACTCCACATCATTATCCCACTGACTTCCTTTTATTAAAAAAAGAAACCCCCAAACCAGCAATATTGCTGTCTCTGCAGAAAATGGTTTTGACTCCATCCATCCATTGTACCAGGGGTCAGGTTAGAGTGTCCAATCAACCTGAACTGCATGTTTTTGGAGGTTGAGATTTTCATAAATATTAGACTTGGATGATTTTAGTTGATTACGACCGAGGCTACTCTTCTATTTCTTTTTATTTAAGATTCAACTATTCAAAAATATTTTTTTGCCACCATACATATTTATTTATTTTTACATTTTTCTGTAATGGACCAGCTAAAATCAACTCAAATCACAAAACCCCCAAAATCCAATGTGACAAAGACTTTGTATATGAGAATGGGTATATTAACACAGAGACCAACCAGGAGGTTGTAGCTCAGGTTTCACAACAACTAAAAACAGGGAAGCCATTGTACAATAATGGAAAGTTGAAGCTACTTCATCATTGAAAGCTCAAACCGAAAAAATAATTCACGGCACAATGACCAGTGATGGACACTGACCCGTGAGAATAACATGGCAGGGGAGCCTACGTGCAGGAGGGCACAGGCTGAGCCCAAGGCTCTCATTGTGAACACGAGAATCTGAGATGCCAGTTTACTCAGCCAGAGATTAGCCAACACAAACAGGAGGGGTGATGGGTGGCGAGGGGGCCTGCAGCAAGGGGGCAACTGTCATGAGTTGGATTTTCTTTTTTATCGTCAGTTTTAATTTATATATTTTACATTACATACGTATGTACGTATATATATTTTAAGCTGGGATATTCATGTGTTTAGTTAGTTAAACCAAATAAAAAAACAACAACAACATTTTCATAAAATATTTAAGAACAAAATGCTACAAAAAAGCTCTAAAACAAGTTAAAAAAAACTTGTTCAGCAGATCAATTAATTTTAATTTGCTTTTTATTAGTGTATTGGTATACTCAACAATCAAAAAATAGTGATAAAATAGGTTTTAAAAAATCACCAGATTACATCCTTGACCACTGACAAAAGATCCAAACATACAGAGCTGGACAGTATAAGTTGTTGTGCAATAAAAGGAAAACCCTAATCATTAAAGTTGTATTACTCAGTAAACATTTGCTAACCATTGTGTTAAATTTGGAGTTCTAAGTATTTTCTAGTAATGATTTTTCAAAGAAAAAAGGAAATTCACACTCATCTCTTGCCAATGCTTTTATGCACTGTTTAAACAAGTGGATTTCCTATAGGATGGTATTGAATATTTTTTTAACATAGTCCCTGACCCTCCACTCCCTTCTTCAAACCCAAACAAGGAGCAGCACCCTGTTTTCATTCCATTTTTTTTTTCACATCTTTTAAAACAAACACTCAGATCAAAGAAGGAAGGTTGAATGGAGGACAGGCGTTTCATTTCACCAAGCTGCTACAGGATCAGGTGATCATACATGTGGACCGATTCACTCAGTGACAAATGATAGGTTGAAATGAAAAGTTAGATTGACAAATGATGATGTACTCAAGTAATACATTTTTTGTGGCCTGGCTATTACATAATTTACTTTAAATTTGTAAAAAAAAATAAAAATTTAATCTATTAATGTATTTGCACACAAATTCTACAATCTACAGAACAACAGATGCAGCTAAACTATTGATTAGTTTTACTTAATTTTCCTAGGATAAAACTGCTGTTGTATATATGTTGTTTGTTTTCAAGACCACAACATATTGCCCAATTATTTTATATTTTACTCCACTGAAGATGGTGTTGTAGTCCAGTAGAAACCCAAACGTTTGATTAAAACTGGATTCTCTAATAACTTGAAAGTGTTCTTTGAAACACCTTTGAAAACCACATGTGCTGTTTTACCTAACCTTTAAATGAATATGTATTAAAATCTTTAAATTACAAATAAAAAAAATAATGTCATGAAGGAAAAAAAATGCAAGACAAGATAGTCGTTCAATTTAAATATAATAACAACTACAGTAAAAAGCCTGTAGAGAACACAATCATTAACACAATGTTGCACAGAAAACGGTGGACTGTAACGAAACGAGAGGACGTTTAAATAAGCGAGGAACAAATTACCCATGTGTCACATTTGAAATGACTAATATAAATAATAGTTATAATTATTCACTTCAGCTAATTCTCGCATAACACGATTTTAATCATCAGAATGCAAATTATGAACGTGTTTCTTGTTTTAAAAAATCTATTTAGGTTTCCAACATTATAGCAGGCTAGACTTACTAGATTTTACAAAATAGCCCGTGAACATACAATAAAGAAACTATTATATGATTAATAAAGTATTATTTAAGTTTAAACAATACTAACACTTAAGTCGTTTCCGAGGTAGCTTTCAATAGAAAGTAGTGCAGGATTAATAAGGCACTGTGATTGGATGCTCAGAGGACACGCCCACACGTTACGTCGGCTATACATAATACCTTAAAAACGAGAATGACGATTCGATTTCTTGTGGCATAGCAGACGCTAAAAACACGCAATTGTCCAGGAAGACGTCACTCATCGTCACACAGCTGCCGCGGCGAACTATCACAACTACCACACTAGAAAGACAAAAACCGACAAAAGAATCTGAGCCTTAAAGACACTTTTGACTGCTGTTCGACAATTCTCAGGATGACCCACTAGTAAAACAACCCAACGGGAAGGCAACTATCACCACCACTACCACCGATTTGCCCGCCACCAAGCTCCGCGAGAAATAGACTCCACCTCTGCAACACTAGTTTTGACAGAAGGAACGAGAAGGAAGAGTTCAACGCTGCCATTATGGACTCGGGAAAGGTAATTTTGTGTGTCTACAGATGCGAATGAGCTACGTGTTTTCCCTAGTCAGTCCTGTTTGGGTGTCGTTAGTTTCCGCGCTCCCAGTTCACTGAGCTTGCGCATCTATTTTCTTTTTTCTCCACGTGTGCGGCGATGAATTAAAAAAACGAGGCTTTTAAAGGCTAACGTTTTAATGATATTACAGCATATTAAAAAACAAACAGCTAAAATAGTTTTATATCTGATAATAACAATAATAATTATTTGTATTGGTATTATTATTATGTCTGCTTCTGCTACTACTACTATTAATAACGTATTATTAACGTTAGCTGAGAGTGGGTATCAGCCGGTTGTAAAAGCTAACCAAACAGAAAAATGATTCCTTGCTTTTGGCCATAGTTGTCGTCCGACCTTGTTAAAGGTTGTCTTGTGTGTTTCCAATAAGGCCTTTGCAAAATATAAATAAAACTACGAGTTTCTGTGATAATTAAAAGTAATTCTATTGAGGTATTTAGTGTTGATAAAAATAAAATCATTTAAAAAATATTTTTTAAAAAATCATAAAAAGCATAGCTTTCCGGTTATCATTCCCAGGTTTATGATATCCTTATTGAAGAGAGCAGTCCTTAAATGGCCTTGTTCAAATTAGGACCCGTTTGCTGAGACTTACATCCGCAGACACGTAGCTCAGACCTTTCTCATGACTTTACAGAGACAGACCCCAGAGAGCATCAGAGGGCAGCTCAGCTTGACATGGTGGCCTGAAGATGTTTTCTCTAACTATGTCATGTCTTTAAACTTTAAACTGTCTTTAAATTTAAATGAAACCTACCATTATGCCACTGCATCTTCAGCAGAAGAGGTTTGCTCAGGTGTACCTGATGGAAATGGTTCTTTTTGTTGAGTATTGAGTGTTTCAACGATAGTATGGTTTCCTAAAAAAGTTATTACGCTTAAGCAAGTACTATGAGTACATGTGGGGTTTGAGCTCAGTAAACAGATTTGGCCAAGCTATCAATTAATCTGTGTCTCTTAAATTAAATCATTAATCAGTAAACCTGCTTTCTAACCAGTTCAGTGTTTAAATATTGTATATAACACGTCCTCAAACTCAGAACATTTGCAGCACACAAGTTTTGGGCTCTGAATGTTTACATCATTTACACCTTTCCCTGTCAAACAATCCTCTACACCTCTACATCCTACACTTAATTTTCTACAAACAAAGCAGTGTCCAAGTCAAACGACTAACTTGGTTTTAATTCCTCTCCATCTTGTGCCAACCTTTGTTCCCCAAGTCCAACAGATGTACTTTCTTTTGCATGACTGGCTCCTTTTGTGCAGTTCAGAGAATTATTATTCACATGAGGCGTGATGAGGCTTTGTGGTGAAAGTTGTCACAATCGTCAGAAACTTGACAGTTGGTTTCTTTTTTCTCCTACTACACTTATCCACACCTTGAACCAAACCTACTATAAATCGAGGGGCACAACGAAACTGTTTTTGTTGGAGTTCTTACATTCAGAACTGAAGTCTTTGAACATTTTGCTCCTCATTTTTTTGAACAGTCAAATGTGGTTCTGGTGAGAGAAATTGTTAAAAACTAGTTTAAGTTGAAATGAGAATCTTCTCCTTCAAATGTCTCATGTAAGGCCATACATTCTCCTCAGTTTTGGATTTGAAATCCAAATTTATCATAGTTTCCTTTTGATATAAGGCATTTGTGGAACATGTTCTCCTATCATGAAGTCTGTGTTCCACCACCACCACCTTTATTTCCTGTTTATAAAAACAGTTGAAAAACAAAGATAGTTGTCTGGCAATGTGAGTAAATATAAATATATTCTGACCTTGTAGATGCTTCAAAGTATGTTTTAACATTCATGGTTAATTAGCTTTTGCCCTAACAGCAAAACAATATACAATATGCCAAAGAGCCCTTCATGATCATTGGCGAATCAGATTTTCTTTTGTTAATTCGACAGACAACACTATTAATTTTCAGTCAGTATAAAACAAGAATAATCCCTGCTGAATTATTTCCCCTTCGAACAGGATTCTAAAGATAGTATGATAGATGTGTAACCTTTACTGAATGGACATAAGATGAAAGCCCTTGAGTTAATGTTGATAAATGGTTAGAGACATGAGAAAGCACGTTTTGTTATTTGTTGCTAATAAGATGGCAGCCTTTGTGTTCTTCTGGAAGGAAGTGCTCAGGACAGACGACGTGTGATGTCATGTGAATGAAAACTGGAAAGACGGTACAATTTTTTTAATTAAAAAAAAGTCAAAATATGATCTGCTGTACAATTGTCTGGTCTTTGGGCATAAAATGTCAGGATAGAAAAGTAACACCATCATAAACGATCATGATTAATTTAGAGTAAAAAAAAGCAACCTTTTATTATAATATTTAAAGAAACCGACAGTGAATGTTTATATATGTACAGCATGAACACTGCAGCATTGTGACGATGAGACCAAACCTCACAGTCTGCTGTCATACTTGTCATTTCCTATGTAAACATTTGCATAAGCTTTTCAGCCCTAATAGACACCCATAAAATACATCTGCAAAGAGTTGCAGACACAGAATGTTATGCGAGGGAGAACACCCGTTAGTCAAATCTATTGTACATATTTTTAAGCAACTTAAATGAAATGGAACTTAAATAAAAGTAATTTCTTTCGTATTAGTTTGTTAGAGAACTGCACCAGCAGCAACACTGTTCCTTTATCCAGTCTTGGAAGAGGTGCAGTTGGTTTACCAGCAGTGAGCTGGGAAAATGGCACCGAAACTCAGAATTCAGGTCAAAGTTTGGAGACTGTGTCGGCTCCCTGTCACTTCCAGTTATTTAATTTTTTCCCCCTTCCTCTGTCTTTTTGTATTTAACTGAGGTTAGAGTAGAACTGTAAGGTCTGTGTTATCCGACAAGGCACTGAATTTTAATATTTCAGCATCTTTGTTCATTTAACATTAAGAACTGTTTTGTGTTTAAGGCAGCATTGGCTACAAGTATTTTCCTCTTACAAACACAAAGCTTTGTTCTCTGGTCAGGTTCTAAGTCGATTAGTTGCTGTGCAATGTCATAACAAGTCCTTGTGACTGACTTACTAAGTCCACATATGGAAGAAAAACAAAAAATGTTTAATGGTGTTGTACAGGTCCAGGAACGTCAAACCATCACATTTTCAATCTGATTAATCACAGGCTGGCTGTACATTAATCATGATTAAATATAATTAATCTTAATTGTAATTGATCACAATTAATCTAAATCAATCACATTTAAACATGAAAAATTTATTTTTTGTGTATTACAGAAATGGAAAGACAAATACTAGTATGTGTTTTAAACTTGTTTTTTTTTGTTTTTTTTTTTTTTTAAATCCCAGACATACGACCTGCGGTCCCTGGCAGTCCGTTGGCCAATTGTGTATGGTTGACAATGTTAATGGAATTTGAAGCTTGATGTGCCTCAAACATTTTCCTGCAGTCTTAGTAAATGACAATGCATATTGATGGACATGTTAGAGCAATTATAAGTGGATGGACAGTGGGATTATAGGTATGCAGTTCCAGTCATGTATAATATGATTATTACTACAAATTTATTATTATGGTTACTTCTTAATATTTATTTCCTTTGCTTTATATATATATATATATATATATATATACCAATTGCTAACAACAGTAGCATAAAGTCCCCTGTGACATGCTGTACGTTGCTCTTTAAAACGTCTCTGGAAACAATGTGTTGGTTATTGTCATGACTGATGACTCAAAGCCACAGTCACAAAATAGTTTTGTTGGGTGTGAATTTTACAATTTCCCCAATGAAGAGGTTACTTCACAGAGGTTATGAATATATGAAAGAACTCTATTTATATCACCTTCCTTCCTCTTTGTGCAATAAGAGATGTGGAGGCAATTTTTGTGTGTTAAATACCTGAGTGAGATGTGTTTAACAGATTTAGTCTAACAACTGTGAGTTTATAGGAGTTTTAAGACAAAAAAGATCTGGGAATAAGAGCATGACGTTGTGAATACTGTATGTGAAAATCTGAAACACATTAATGTTTTCAGAGCTGAAACCGAGGCCAGACTCAGGGAGGTCTGCTGTTTTATAGGTTAAAGGTAAAGATGTCACAGAGGAGTGTTCGATTTCACATGAACACACACTGACGTCGCCGTTCTTTTCTATCCTGATTTAAATGTTCACCTTCTGGGTGTTTAGTAAATAACTTCAGAATTCCCCCTCCCCCCGTTGACTTCTTAGTGAGGACAGATGGGATTTTTGATATATTTATAGTGAGAAGCAGCTGGTGGTACATTCAGTCCTCATCAAAACTAGGGCTTTTACTCAATTTCATCAGTTCTGGTTGGTTTTTCTTTTGGCAACGTGGCTTCATATGTAAGTGTGTGTGTATGTATGAGTCTCTGTTTACATACTGTTCCTGAACACTTCTGTCATGAACTTCATGAACCTCCTAAAAAAGAGATCCTGTTGTTGAGGGCGGGCCTTCAAGCAGTCTTAGCTCAGCCCCCTTTTTGTAGAAGCATGCTGCAGTGACTTAGTTGGAAATATTTTTTTTTTGTTTTTTACTTCCCTTACTCTCTTCTTTCCTCCTCCTACGGTACAGGTCAATGTGGAAATCAATGATGAAGTTAATGCTCTCTCAAGTGAGGAAGGGGTTCCTCTATATGGTGGTCTAATAGTCACACTATTAGACCTGTTGGTTATTTGCATCTTTACAGGTTTTTTAAAGGGACATCAAACAATTGTTGTATCCTATGTTTGTTTCTAGTACAGCATAAGAGCTGAGGGATGTATCCTGTACAGTGGAGGATTGAGCAAAGCAGTCATCAGGCGAGGGTGGGGTACATCCTAATATTCACACCAACACTCAAGTTCGAGTGAAATTTTAATTATGAAATGTTTTGTGACAGTCGGAACAAACCACAGACCAACACACATACACTGTAAGAGCAATACATGTCTATAAAGAAAGATGGACAATCGAACCAGTGACGTTTAATGTCCTTGCTGTAAGGCAAAAGTTCTAACCCCAGGTTTTTTTGGGACAGATTTTGGAGGTGTAATAATATGACTACATAACAATAGAGATTCAGACTTGACATTCTCCCCTGTGAACAAAATCTCTGTCACAACAAAGAGAGTCTGTCTGATGTAAATCATGAGATTTAACAGCAAAACATTTGTCACAGTCAACCCAGGTACTGAAAAAAGAAATTACTTGATAAAAGTGCTAGTATTGTTTTTGCAATCATATTTATGTGCCGTACTTCCTGTAAGAATAGCAGGAAGAGGCGTGAAATTGCACTGGAATCTGTTTACTTTTCTGGGAACAGGATACAGACTGGGACATACTTTTTTCCAGTTTAATAAGTTGAAGGTATGAGGACTTTTTGGCAAATGAAGCGTGACTCAAGCTCCTAGAGTAAACTACGACAACAGGAGAACACCAGACAATAACCTGCCTCATAAAGAACAGGAAGAAAACTGTGTTTGACCTGGAGCTGTCCAGTAAGAGTGATAAAGAAGCCCGCCTTCCCTGTTCCTCATGAACACAAACTCAATACAAAAGCTTTTGTGTGAGATATCGTTTCATAACAAGTGACATTCATTGATACAATGTGAATAAGTTCTTAGTAGATGCTCTTTAATTATGAATTGAACTCACTGTGACAGGTTTTTGGACAATTCCGTGTGTGTGTTAAAGAACATGTTCAATGATGCTGTGCCGGACTCGTCCACTGACTGTTTTTTCCTCTTTTCTTTATTCGCTTGCAGCAAATAACGTTCCCACTCTTGATGTGCGTTGGAACAGCTGTAATTGGCTCATTACAGTTCGGCTACAACACTGGCGTCATCAATGCCCCTCAGAAGGTGAGTCATACAGGTGCACAAACAAAGAGCTGAAGGAGTGTTGGAACTGTTTGTCACAGCTTATCTGTGGAGGTTTCGCCACACTTCCTGTTAGGTTTCAATAAAGTCAGTTATTGGAATTTAGAAAAGAGTGAAAGTCCAATCCTACTGGTTTATAATCATTACAAAGCAAGTGCTTTTTAATTGGGAAATATATGGTTTGTACTTTCTACTGATGATATGCTGATTCATTCATACTGCTTTCTCTATACACACAACTGATCTCTCTCCCCAAGTTGACAGGGTGATATACGGTAATATATCAATCCTCCATCTGACCCTGCTATAGTGTCAGAGTCTAATAATATGTGCTTTAATCAATGTTATTAACTGACATTGAACCATTCCTGTGTAAAAGAAGTTCCTCCGTGACCAACATTGGACCTCAGCTGAGGCAGGAAAGCTGGGGAAAAAAACAACGTCGGAATTAGAGGAAAGAAAATGTAGGAGGCAGACATTCATCAATCCCTATTTGGAGACCAGGTTATAGTGAAGATGTTTCCTTTACCCCCCCAACCACCTACCCCTGCCCCCACGTGGACAGTAGCTCTAGTCAACAGACAGGTATGCTGAAGAAGTTCATTTCCTTGGGAATGTGCTTGTGTGTGTGTGATTAATGTTTATAGCCTGTGTCCAGTTGCTGGTTGTCAGAACACACCCTCTGGCTACACAGCTGTCTCTCCACAGGTCACAGGTGTGTCCACCAGACACGTTACAGCTTCAACTGCTCTCTGTGTTTTTCCTTCCTCTAAGACAGCTTTGTTCTCAGTGTGATGAAGGCCGACTGTGGCTCTGATCTGAGTATGTGTGTGCGTATGTAGGCGTGAGCGTATATGTGTATGGTGTTTTTCCTCTGACAGACTTGACTATTATTTAACACTGTTCGCTGACTGTCATCATGTTGTCACAGATTTCTATCAGTGTTCTTTGTTGTGGCGGAACATTTGTTAATGAGCTGTTGTCAGTCAAGGAAGCTGTGTAGATTTCTTGTTTTTAATATTGTTTTTTAGGGTCTTGTTGAAGATATAATCTCTCAGCATGCATGCGTTGGTGAGCGTGATCAGATTGTGGCTCGGGGTCCACATCCAGCCCAGTTTGTGGTTATTTTAGGAAATGTGGGGAGAAATGAGAATGAGGATTTGCATTGATAAGTGAAGAGACATATCTACAGTAGAACAGACCATAAGTGGAACACTCTCTGTAGCCTAGCAACTTGCCAATCACAATGCATCACTTGTGTGTCTGCAAGCATTAGCAGCTTCCTATTCAGTAACGTGTCCCTCTGAAATCAGAAATTTAAATGTATTAAAAATTCATATTCCAACCTTCAAACTGATGCTTTTTTGCAAGGAGCTGGCTTGGACCTTATTTTCTTTCTAATTAATCTTTAACAAATTCTACTGTAGGGGAAAGTTAAATCAGCAGATGAGGTTTATGTGGGAACTTCTGTGAAGTTTCTGATTTTGGTCTTTAAGTATATTTGCTCTGGAAATTAACGAGAAAGCGAATATTTACCTTAACCTCTCTGCTCTCCCGGGTGTTTCGTAATATTTAATCTGGTGTTTTTCCACAAGAACTTCGAAGTTGTAAGTGGCAAAGATTTGTCATCATCCTGAGAACAGCACGTGTAACAAACCATGGAGCCAGGCCAC